TAATTTTTTTCTTATAACTTACGAGTGAATGTGTGTTATTTTCTATTTTGTTTTTAAAATAAAAACACTGGCAATGATACTAACAATATTCCCATTAACTACTCCAAGAAAAGCTGATAATGTTTGTGTTCTCGACAATTGTCGGCGGATTCAAACTTCAAAAACATTAGACGGCTACTTTCACAATACAGTCCAAATTTGAACCAGAACTATTGTTTTGACTTTAGCGCGATGAAAACAATCGTGAGAGGTTTTGTTCTTTTCATAATGGACCTTTTGTATTAGTGTTCAAAACGTCTCTTATGATTTCCTTCTAAATATTACTATAAAATTCTATAAAACCCTTACAACTCTCGTGTGATAGAGATATACATTATATTCTTATTTTTAGTAGAATTTAACACATGCAAGCTCAGGAAATAACAATTTTACATTAAGTGAGTGTTGCGAAAACCTGCGTATTTAAGTTGCAGTGACATACAAACTTACCAGCATAAAATAACAGCTTAGCACTGCTGTGTTTCGAATGGTGTGTGTACAAAACCGGAAACCCATTTTAATTGAAAAGAGGCATTCCATATTAGTCTTCACAGGTGACGACGCATCTGCATTTTGATTCTATATTGAGGTGGATGTGGATGTCTATGGGTCACAGTAACCACTTATCATCAGGTGGACTGTGTGCTCGTTTGTCATCGTATCCTATAAAAATAAAATTTACAGCCCACCTGATGGTAAGTGTCTACTGAATTTCAACGACACCTACAGCCAATTTTAAACAAATAAAGTTGGCCACGGATGCGTTGTCTGAAGATGGATGCCTGGTAACGGACGATTGGAGCCTGTAATTTGATTCTCTTTACTCTTCAGTCCGGAACACAACAGGGCAAACACTGTTATTTGTCGGTAAATGTAAAAAACAGGGTGTTAGTAGTAGTGTTGACGAATGAGTCTCTTAACAGTTTCCTTCATTTTGAGCTCGTATCAGTCCGCCGCCGGACACGGGCCACTCCCATAGTTGACTTGCTATAATCGCTGCACTTGGCAGGCAGACTAGTATTGCTTCTGTATTATTGTACTGCTGTTTGACAGCAGAAATAGGTAAGAAGGTGGTACCTATATTTCACCAAATTCTTTCCTGCTCCAGCACTTTTTCAGAATTGAGGTGTGTGCCCAGCTATGGGACGTATGTAGACTTTATACTCTTTATATCTTTTAAACTCAGACCAGGAAAGTATACGCATTCATTTGAAGTGACGCATAAATCATGCTCAAATTCTTAACACGCACACATCTTTCTTCTTTCTTTCTACACCAGCTCATAAAAGTACACCGCAAGACGTTCGCGTATGCTCCTAAAACTATATTTTTGGTTGAAAATAATTTTAATCTATACATATATGTACATGAGCGCGTGTTGTTACAATGAGTTGAACATGGTTTTGGCTTGGTTTTTCCTTGCCTTGAAATGTACATATCATGCCGTCTTTCTTGTTTTGTTGGTCTGATTTTAAATCGCAAATTATGGAATATGTAACCTGCTGACTTACTGCACTATTGAGGGTGAAGGAAAACATCGCGAGGAAATGTGCATAAATTTAAGAAAATTTTAAATTATTCCGCATTCTAGAACTGGAGTAGCACGGTGGAGTTTACTCCACTACACCCACAAAAAGGAAAGGATACAAATAGGAGGCCTGAGTCCTGGATACGACGTGAGTTCGGTCATCGCAAGCATTATTACTTTTTATTTAAACACTTATTTAAAACGTAATGAATGTGCTTGTAGGTAAATGAAAACATCGCGAAGATATCATCATGTCTCTAAAAATGACAAGGAATATTTTTGAGAACATATAAAGATCACCCACTTTCATTAAGACAACGCAACGCGGTCTTCTTTCGTCACTTTCAGAATATAATAGTAGACCTTTATCCAGCTGTAAGCCGTTGCTTCATTTTAATATTTTCTTGAATTATCTTTATTTTCGTGAAGTCGTAAGTTCAATTAAGGTTATAACATATAAACACAACATACATATATGCATACATATATACATACATATATACACACATATATATATATGTATATATATATATATATATATATATATATATATATATATATATATATATACATATACATGCATACATATATATATACAAACAACAATGACAAAAACAAATGTGTGTAAAATGTTAATGTTAAAAACGCACTGCTAGACGCGTACATATGCACATTAAAGCCTATTCATGGTTTAAGCAATGACATTTTTATAGATACGTAAAATGCCCACGAAACCTCCGAAAAAAATGTTCCGAACCCAGCCGTCCTAGCGGAAGCACACATGTTTATGAGTGCTTTTAATATAAAACATTTCTTATATTTCACTACATTTTCTCTTTTTCTCTCTCTCTCTCTTCGTGTTCTTCTCGCACCAGTTCAGAAACTTCTAGTGTCGTCCTTTTCTTTACGTAATAACGTCTTACGTAATCATGGTGTCATATTTGTTAGCCAAGGGCCGAAGTAGCTAATTGAACACTTTCCGGTACTTTAAATTTGCAGTGCTAGTAACGTATCTATCTTTATTTATATATAAATATTATTGGCTGCAAATGATTTCAGGTATAGTGTACGTGGGTGCGTATTCTTATATTAAGTTGAGCATGGTTTTGGCTTGGTGTTTACGCAGCACTCCGTCTTTCTTTCTAGCTTTCCAGTCTATTCTATACTATTTTAATTAAAAAATAATGTAATCACGCTGCATCAATAATTTTGCGGTATCAACATTAAAGATTTAGGGCGACCAGCATTACTAAACGTGTCTCCAGAAAATTCCTAATGTGAATTCCATTAAATAACGAAAGATTTTCGTCGCTTAACGAACTTGCTTGTAGAGCTAGCGCATTATCGATTTCACAGTATCCGTCTTTTGATGTTCCATGAAGATGTCTAGTTTGACATTGATAAATCCATTTTGATGCCCGCCAACCATTTAAATTAGTACTAATGCCATAGTAACTATTATACTCACATAATGGGGTTGTTATAAACTAATTTGCTTAATTTTCCGCGTAAAGAAAGAAAATGATGTGTCCTGCCCAGTTTTTTTTTTATAGGATAAGGGTGAAAAACGAGCACACAGTTCACCTGATGGTAAGTGGTTGCTGCGGCCCATAGACATCTACATCTGTCCTCGCTTGCGAATCAAAATGCAGATGCGTTGTCACCCTTGAGGACTAAGATGGAATGCCTCGTTTCCAGTAAAAAGGGTCTCCGGTTCTCTACACTCACCTTACGAAACACAGCAGCGTTAAGCTGCTATTTTACGCTGGTATTCTGTGAGAGCGTGGTACTTCCCCGGTCGAGCCGACCCATTCGTGCTACAACTATACTACTAATATAGCTGCAGCATGGCTCTACCACGTAAAAATTGTAAAACTTTCATTTTGCGGCTACAATAGCGTATAATGTTATGAATTCCCTTGATACGACAAATAAAATCGATACTGGACTAATCCAATACCGCATTACATTATTCGAGAGCTCACTTATAAGTTGGTGTTAAGCTGTGACCTTCTCAGTGCTACGTGTCATTTATTTTATGTATTGTCGGTTTGAGATACATATAGGCTCACTCAATACTTCCTGACAATTATTTTATAATAGTGAAAAATAATTTCTAACATACCTTTACCTATTAATCCGTCTTTCATTAGTTAACAATTTCTTCTATATTTCTGTCACAAAGCAACAGTTCAAACTATAAATAATCCGATATAGCTTGCAGTGCGCTTTTAATGTTAGAACGTTATTATAATTACAGGTTGTTGCATACTGTCTTAGTTCTCAATAGTGACCATGTATCTGTAACAATTTTTATCTAAAATGGGTTGCAAACTCCCATGGGCTGCAGTAGATGAACTGTTAGTTCATTTGTCGCTCTAATATTATTCAAAATACAGATTTCCTACTTGCCAAACGTCATTTTTTCATAGAATTAGAGTGACTAACGAACCCACAGTCCACCAGCTTCGTAATGTTAGCAAGTCCAAAAATTAGAATTAGACGAGGTTTTACAGGGACATGTAGAATCGTTTGCTCATTAAGAATAAACGAAAAAAATAATTATTCGTGTCACCCCTGCAGATTTACGACCCTTCGAAGACGCTTGCTAGAAATTTTATAAAATAGTCATTTTTTAATGGTTTTAAGGCACCAAAGTGAAAATATTCATGCACAGAACGTTTGCGCGTTATTTTCTCGTTCCAGAAGTATAATTACTTTCTCAGAAAAATGCATAATAACTGATTTTCACGATATCATTATTTTTCGCACCCCCAGCCTACGCAAGCATGCGAGTCTGCAATTGCGCGGCGCGCGTCACGCAGCGCACTGTGGCCTGTGGGAAGTATCAAATGTGAAATCAACTTATTGTTTACACTCACAATCCAGGGTTTTCTGTCTCATCAATTTGACAGTTGGATACCAGGCTCACTACACGATTGAGATCTCGTACAATGAAAGCGTAATTAGATTCCCCATTTTAATCGAGTTTTAATTAATCGGGCGTATTCAATTGGCGTTTCATTCAAAATCAAGTATCGTGACAACAAGTTTACAATAAAGCCAATAAAGTATTTTAAGAAATGGTAATAGTTTGTCTGCTGTGCTTGTAAATGACGTAAAATTATATTTTCAACAAACTTGTGCTTTTGATAGCATTTCAGAGCTTTTAAGTAATGCTTACTCTGAATTTGAATCCTTTCATTCATTTGTGAATGCAAATCTTCCAAAAGATAAGAATGAACAGAATACAAAATTCAAAATACAAAATTCAAGTTACATGGAATTTTTGCACAATTATTCAGTTAATGGCCCAGACAGTACCATATACGTCAACAGAGGATATGTTTTGAAAGCCTTATATCCAGAACAGTGTAATAATACCAGCTCTATTGACTGCCGAATAAATGTTAATCATTTATTCAACAGAATAATGAGTCAATATCAAAATATGAAAATTATAAAAACCTGTTTGAATTGCAAGAATGATGATAGCAATCCCATTGAATCAAGTGAGATTACAACTGTTCTTCCTGATCTTCATGTTGTCTGGGATAAAAATTATAAAAATTTGGCAGCTTCACTCACTGAAAAGTTTCAAATTAAATATCTTTGCAAAAAATGTAAAAACCAGAGAGATACCAACTACATCATGGGACCTTACCTGTTGATTGAAGTAGATACTGCATATCAAGATTCTACCTATGCAAAATCTATTGGCAAAAACACATCTGAAGTTTTCACTAAAGTAGAAGATATACCAGAAAATATTGTAATTAATGACATAAATTTTATTTTATGTGGAGTTATAAGGTTCACTCCTCCACCTTCAATTGGTGGCTTGGGCCATTACACTGCGTATTGTAGGAAAAATAATGGTGAATGGGATTATAGAGATGATCAGCGTCTGAGAAAAAATTAAAAGTGCTCTATAAAGACAAGTATTAAAATAAGCTCAATTTTATATGTAAGAAATTCGAATGTAAACTAAATGTAATTAAAAACAGCTAATAAAAAACTTCAATGATTAGCAGAAGAATAGCATACTTAATTATACTCTAGGTAAAATTCCGACAACTGTCATTCAAAGTCTGGAAATATATACCAAATACAATATATTGATATCTAATTATCTAATTTATGAGAATTAATGAAAATAATATAAAAACCAACGTTTATTTTAATTTAGATAAAGATGATCTAATTGAAAAAAATTATAATAAAATAATAATAATTGAAATGTTGAGTAGAAGAACAAATTTATTCCATGATCATATTGTACAGATTGATATCATATTGTGCGATCAAAAAAGTTTAACGAGAACGTATCATATAGAACAATGTTTATTATTAATTTATAATTAGCATTATTTATAGTAGCACCATCGATATTTGGAGTACATTGTGGAGGTAGAGCATTTAGATCAGACCTTTCTGTCAGTTCAACGTACTTTTCTTTTAATTCTTCTGGTTTTCCTTTGTTAGGAAACATTTGAGATACTGCCTACAAACATAAAGTAACATGAAAATCTAGTCGACTAGATATTTTAAAAGAAATTTCAAAAAAGTTATATTTACTATAAAAAAGTTGTACTGTAAGAATGTTCTTTTTCATCTTCGTCTTTTGATTCTTTGAAATTCTTTGTAGGATTTGTATCTTTTTCTTTGTCATCCATTTCATAGGAAACTAACGCCTTTACAAGATCCACAAAAATAGAGTGATCCATAAATCCTGACTCACGCTCCCCATGTACTTTATCATCATAATTTTTTATTAATTTTTCGATAAAGGTCCCATCTTGATCAAGGATCTCATCACCCATGTATGGAATATTATGAAGGACAGTTTCATCTTTGACCATGAAATTTTGTTGTATCAGAAAGAACAAATATTTAGTTAAATGATTTTCCAAATAGACTCTATAATAAATAAAATAAATAAAAGTTGTATTGCGTGGCTTGGTACCTCTGTAAATACAAGAATGATTTAGATCCTGATTTGATATTGGAGCTGCATTGTTTTGCTCTACACTCTGAAGCAATAAGTTGTTAAGAATTTCTAATTACGCTTTCATTGTACGAGATCTCAATCGTGTAGTGAGCCTGGTATCCAACTGTCAAATTGATGAGACAGAAAACCCTGGATTGTGAGTGTAAACAATAAGTTGATTTCACATTTGATACTTCCCACAGGCCACAGTGCGCTGCGTGACGCGCGCCGCGCAATTGCAGACTCGCATGCTTGCGTAGGCTGGGGGTGCGAAAAATAATGATATCGTGAAAATCAGTTATTATGCATTTTTCTGAGAAAGTAATTATACTTCTGGAACGAGAAAATAACGCGCAAACGTTCTGTGCATGAATATTTTCACTTTGGTGCCTTAAAACCATTAAAAAATGACTATTTTATAAAATTTCTAGCAAGCGTCTTCGAAGGGTCGTAAATCTGCAGGGGTGACACGAATAATTATTTTTTTCGTTTATTCTTAATGAGCAAACGATTCTACATGTCCCTGTAAAACCTCGTTTAATTCTAATTTTTGGACTTGCTAACATTACGAAGCTCAGTCCACCTGATGGTAAGTGGTTGTTGTGGCCCATAGACATCTACATCTATCTTCGTTTTCGAATTGAAATGCAGATGCGTTGTCAGCCGTGAGGGCTAAGATAGAATGCCTCATTTCCCGTAAAATAGGTCTTCGGTCTTCTACACTCACCATACGAAACACAGCAGCATTAAGCTACTATTTTACGCTGGAATTCTGTAAGAGCGTGGTACTTCCCCGGTCGAGCCGACCCTTACGTGCTACAACTCCTCATAAAATATATTAAATCTTAACTTAAAATATTTCCCGTCTTCCCTTTATTTTTCATTATTCCGTAAAAGTACACACTTGGATACGAACCTCTCTTGTTATTGGTAGGAAGGATGTGTAGGATACCAGACAATTCGCATCTTCGGAGGTGCTTCGGAGGTGGCATGAAGTTTTACGCTGCCACCAAAAGTAAGCTGTACTCAACAATTTCAGTGGTGTAGGCGAAGATTGAACTTGTCCTAAACAGATCAGTGAAAACTACAACTGTCTACCTATTACGGATTATGAGATACAGCCCGCTGACATACAGACGGACGGACAGTGGAAGCTTAGTAATAGGGTTCTATTGGTTACTCTTCGGTCGCGGAACCATAAAAATAGATTTAACGTTATGCATGGTGTAAATACCTACATCTTCAAAATTATTACCAAGAATGTTTAAAAAATACATTTTTGTGTATTTATAAATCATGAATTTATATAAAGCAAAATTACTTTAAATCTTTTTCATACATACTTTATAAACATAAAAAAGATGTCTGAAAGAAGGTGGCGAATCGTCCGCAATGTTTTGCTATTTTGCTAACGAAATTACCTACCTCAACGATACACTAAAGAGCAGTCACGAAGAAGACCTTAGCAATTTGCCACTGCTTACAGATGCCCCCAAGGTTTGTGAGCGAGAAATTCGCAATCTGTATTGAGCAAAAGGAAATGATTATTACTCCATCTAGTATTCAATATATTTTTTTAAATATACTATTTACATTTACTAGAACCTTTTTAAAACGTTAAATATATTGTTATATACTGTATAACTCAAATTGTGTATTCATTTTAATCATTATTTTATTTCTTCATGCTGTAAAGTAAGTTCAGAAATACATGAAATATAATATAAGATTTTAATGAACAAACTAGAACTTTAAAAACTCATATAAAAAACGAAATTAAATAATTGATTTGAGAACACATTATATTTGGCCAATAATTCTAATAAGCTTTTTAAATTTTCACGTTAACATTAACATTATAAGATTTCGAAAGATCTCTCGAGAATCACATATTATAAAAAATTTATTCTTAAAACTTACTCTATAAAAATATTAAGAACTATTCTATTAACACTATAAAGTAAAAATATACTGTTAACGCCTGCAGTTTATTTATAGGTGTAAATAAATACGTTTTGATTTCGTAAACAAGTATTTACTGAACTGTCCAAAGGATATAAACAACCGTATGTTTTCAGTACCTTAGTGGTTAAAAGCGTAATGTGGAGACAAGGCCGGCACTTTATTTCAAAACAAGACAATAACTACACAAACATAATGAAAACGATTGAAAGAAAAAGCGTGATTTCTGTCTCTTGAATGATTCCTTAGATCTACCTATATAATATTACTGAATTTCTATAATGAAAGCTATTTTTTGTCTTACTACTGGTTCAAAAATACAATATACAAGATTAAGACAACTATACATATTTTTTTAACCCTTTAATATTAAAACACTTTATCTTTTCAGCTTAAATTTTTAAGCTTCTAAAATACAGACATTGTGGAATTCGTTTAAAAAAAGGTTTTGTCACAATGGAACATTAATCCTTAAGCCTGTTTACAAATTGTGCGGCAAAACCAGAATCCATAATCTCATTTCATTCTTCCTTTTACATTTTTTGTCTTGACTGAAGGAATTAACCTGAAAATACAAAGCATCGTCGCTTTACTCACACCATTGTATTGCAAATAAAAATGTTTAAATAGAATATTAACAATACCTAAGTGATTTAACATTTAACTAAAAATTTACCGAACTTTATTCTGAATGTGATAATTCCTTTCCGAAATGTTTTAAATTGTTGAAAAGAAGTGTTATTTCTTTTGTAGAATTTTGAAGCTTTTAGTTAATTTTAATTTCAAAGTGGGACTGCAAAAAAATGAATCATTCTGTGATAGCATTCACAAGTTTTTAAAACCATGTTAACATTATTTAAAACTTTAAAGAAATATTAAATTTTGAAGGCAGGTTAGCATAGTTGACGTCAAAGTAAAATTGTCTCCTGCAAAAGTGCTTTAAAGACATATTTGTTAATATAGCGTATTTTCATATGTCTAATGACCTTACCAGCTATCTAAAAGCGAAGAAATTTAATCATGTAAAAGTGGTAGAGCCACGCTGCAGTTATATTATGTCAAACAAAATACTTTGTAGCACGAATGGGTTGTCTCGACCTGGGTAGGACCAGACACTCATGAAATATCTGTGTAAAATGCTGCTGTGTTTCATGTGGTGAGTGTAAAGCATATACCATTTTACTAGAAATAAGGCATTTTATTTTAGTTTTCAAGGGTGACAACACATCTATCTGCATTTTGGTTCTTAATTGAGGATAAATGTAGCTGTCTATGGGCCACTGCATCCACTTACCATTAGGTGGACTCTGTGCTCTTTTATCAACCTTATTCTATGAGAAATGTGAAATTTCTATCATGAATTAAGAAGAAGCGCAGATGTCTAATATAATTTCAAGGAAACCGGACAAATAGTGTAATACATTTCGCATTAAAGGCCAATCTTAGGTAACCGTGTACCGCTGGTATTACAAATTTCAGCGCTATCAAATATTGAAGTATTTTCCTCCTCAAGTAAGTGATTGCCCTTTGTGGGCTTTCACTATTAGAAAACACTAGCAGTGGAGTACTGAATTAAAGAAAATATGCGAATCACTTATGTCTAGATTTAGCACATTGTTACGGCCTACAGCTCCCTAAATAAGAGTAGAATCTTCCGGGCCCATAGCGGAAGACCTTACAAGCAGATGCAGGACGGGCCTCAGCAAGGGGCCGCGTGGAAAGTCTCTAATAACAATAAACAACAAGGGGGGGGGGGGCGTTCGATCTTACTGCTATTCAACAGGGAAATATTAAACCGAGCTTACTTACCTATATCCAAGGCGACTGGTCCCTCAGGATTCAGTCAGGTCGCATGTGGTTGTGTGGTGCAAGGGAAGTAAGGTGCTGTGATGTGTATCTGGGTGTGACTGGTGGTGATTGACCTTATTAGACCGTTGCCGTCGGCAGCAGCCCGGACGTCAGTACCGCTC